CAGACACGTCCACTGAGTTACAAGCTAATATGGATTAAAACATAAAACAATTGAAAACAAGTAGCCAATCGCCTGGCATGCCACTTTTTTTTAAAGTGAAGCAATCAAGTCAAGGGAGTCCACATGCTAAGGCAGACTGCTTAAGAACCAACTAGATAATCGCCTGACATGCCACTTTCTCTTAAAGTAAAGCGGTCAAGTCAAGGAAGTCCACATGCTAAGGCAGACTGCTTAAGAAACTCGGTCTTTATCATGCAAGCAATTAGAATATGTACACCCGACAAATATGTGACTAATATAATGTCCTCTTCACTGACAACACATGCCAGAGGTCTCTTTGCTATGCAAATGGAGATCGTAACAAATGAGCTCAGCTCATCTCTTTGTAAGAATTTGTACTCATACTAACTATGCAGTTCATCTAAATGTATATACATGTATGCAACCGATGAAATAACAGTAATGATTTTGGTGGCTGTTAAAACATCCACATTCATATATGGAAACAAGAATAGCAGAGATTCTAGTAACTTCAAATTTGGTTGGGTAATTCACAATATTTTACTACAGGAACATACATGCGCTCATGCAAACAGATATATCACCATGTTGTTTTTCCTATTCCCATCAGAATTGGTTGAGCAGTGCAAAAGGCTATTGTTCAACTTTGTAGTTTGCATTCTCATAAGCTTGTCTTCAGGTCCAATAGAAAGCCTCACAAAGCCTATATTCAGTTATTTGACTCCAAAATGCAATACAAGGGCACTACAAAAAACGAAATTCTAGGTAAATATTTAAGCTTAACTGTCTAATTGTGTCACCAAACAGTGCATCTGGCAAAGTTAAAAAAAGTTGGTACAAGGGCATGAAATTTAAAGGGACAAACTAGACAACCTTATGCTTTTCTCATCTCAGAAAATAAATTTAATATGCAATAAATAGCATACATCTTGATTCTTAAGACAAGATTCGAGATCTATATGTATTGGCCTTTAGGCAAATGACTCTCTGATGAGACAGTGGTCACAGTCCGCTATTTGTAAATTAATATTTTCAATGTAAAATATGGACATGATAGGAGGAAAGAAACCTAACAGGAGTTATCCATGCTTTCACAAATAAGAGCTGAAACCTAAAACCAACAAATGCCACATACATCTACAGATGAATTCTCAGTGTATGTCTAATTGGTAAGTTCTACTTTACTGCTGAGAGACAATCTTTTTTCAATAACACTGATAACTAAACAAAATAAAGTTCATCAGTGTGGAACAAACGCAGACAATAAGTGCCTAAAATATGGAAAATGGCATACCATAAGGTAGAGGAAATTCCTGCTCCCTGTGGCAGCTTGAGGTCTCAGACATTGGAGAGCTAGAAACATTTCGATTCTTGGAACCCAAATGAATGACCAACTTGGTTCCTTTGACCGTCTCATTCTTGCCCGGAGTTTTAGCAGTGCATTCT